AATACTCTTAATAAAAAAAGAAGAAATTAAACATTTTAAGATACCACTTTTCCAAAACTAATTAAATAGTTCTCATTTATTACAACAGATGTTGCTGGGTGCTAATACCTTCCTCGTACACAACCTACTCTCAGACTTAAATTTGGTTGAGACAACCATATTTTTCGTTCTTCAAAGGGTTTTATCAATGTTCCTATTTAAAAATAAAAATTCATATATATATATATATATATATATATATATATGTATGTGTGTGTGTGTGTGTGTGTGTGTGTGTGTGTGTGTGTGTGTGTGTGTGTGTGTGTGTGTGTGTGTGTGTGTGTGTGTGTGTGTGTGTGTGTGTGTGTGTGTGTGTGTGTGTGTGTGTGTGTGTGTGTGTGTGTGTGTGTGTGTGTGTGTGTGTGTGTGTGTGTGTGTGTGTGTGTGTGTGTGTGTGTGTGTGTGTGTGTGTGTGTGTGTGTGTGTGTGTGTGTGTGTGTGTGTGTGTGTGTGTGTGTGTGTGTGTGTGTGTGTGTGTGTGTGTGTGTGTGTGTGTGTGTGTGTATGTGTGTGTGTGTGTGTGTGTATGTATATTGTTAGGATCCAAAGAGATTTTGTTGTCGTGTACATGAATTTATCCCACACGACAAGTTGATAGAACTGTATTTACGACTTGCTGGTTTTGAGAATCTCCTCAACATAGTCTCCTACCATGTTTATTACAAATTTATCCTTGCATTGGTAGAAATATGGAGACTTGAGACACACACATTTCATCTTCCTATCGGTGAATGTAATGTCACACTCAAGGACGTGTACACGTTATTGTGTATGTATCAAAGGTTTCGAGTCCACCAAGAGAATGCAATGTCAGAGCAACTTTTGGGTGTCGATTTGTTTGAAGAAATAGCGATGGGGAAAGGTATAAATATAAAGTACCTTACAAAAGTAATCAGATATGACATTAACCAAATATTTGACCGAGAATAAAAAATAATTAAAACTAGAGGTTATATTATGATACTCTTTGACCACTTTTTATTTCCTGAAACTACCGGTAATATTGTAAAGTGACATAATTAGAATAGGAACATATTTTTGGACTCGAGACTTCACACACAAGAGGGGGGAGGGGGTGAATTGTGTGGTTTGGAAAAATATATGTTTGAAAACTTTTGGAAAGTTAAATCAGAGTTTGATAGCATTTTCTAATTGCAAGTAGCGGAAAGTAAACATTTAAAGTACATAAATTAAAAAGTTAAAGGAAGAAGAAGAACACCAAGAATTATAGAGGCTTGGTCAAAAAACAAAAAGAACTTACTCCTCTCCCCAAGACTTGGTATTGACTGTTTCTAATAATACTTGAAACCCTTTAGTAGAAAAGACTCATGAACCCCTTTATACAAGGAAATGGTGATTGTCCTACAACCAAAATATTACAAGACAAATGATATGGAGGTTTGCGTCATTTCTCTAATAACTTGTTGAAAGTTAAGTGGCCAAGCTTCCTTCCCAACAGTATATTGAAGCAGTTAGTATTCTCTCCACAAATGCGGATCTTGTAGCAGTTAGTCTTCAAGTTCCAAAATATATGAGCTCAATTTTGATTTAACAGGATAACCAAGCAACTTCTAAGATTTTAACCAGGATGATCTCAAATCTAGGAAGATTTTTAATATCGGTTAATCTTAAACCAATCAATAAACAAGGGAAGATTATCAAAGCTAGGTGATCCTCAACCTATACATATAGGAACTGATCACACGATCCCTAACAATAAAATTTTAAAGGGTTTAGCTTAAAACCACACATATAATTCCTATTTGGACAATATTCAACCAAGGTTTATAAACATATTTATCTTGGTGAATTTATACAATTCTACCCATCCAAAATTGCAATGGTGGCCTCACTCACAAATTGTGCTTTCCTCACAAAAGCATTTAACTATAAGAACTAGTGATTGAAAGTAACAAATAAAACTTAGAGAGAGAGAGAGAGTGTGTGTCAATACACAAATTTGTATTCTTAATGATTTGAAATGAGAAAGGGCCCCTCTATTTATAGGCTTGAGATTCCCAAAAAAAAGGAAATAACATTTAAGCCAAAAAATTGTATTTAATCGATGGACACTTTTTCTAATAGGTTAATTTTTGAAAATCAATTGTATATAAGTTCCCAATATGGAAAAATAAGATATATATAGTCATTGTATAGAATCTGGATGCATTCCACTTGTCTTGCGCCTCAAGTTCACACCAATCTAATCGGTTAGCATTTTCTTCCAATCGATTAAATATAGTCAAAAATTATTTTATGGCTTTTTTACTGCTCCCATTATGTTATATACAAATTCTATATGTTTTTCAAAATATTTTATTTTGGTAAATCATTTGAGAAAAATGTTTTAGTGTGTGTGTGTATGTGTGTGTGCGTATGTGTGTGTGCTTATAGCCATATATTTTTATGAAAAAATATGTCTGTTTTACATAATTTTACTCACTTATTAATTTTAAGATAATTTATCTAAGTCTTGTCGGTTGTGATCTTTTTTTTATTCTTTGACACTTGTTTGAGATCTCTTGAGGCTTTTGGTGGAATTCAGTTTGTTTGTCTTTATATAAAAATTATGTTTATCAAACCTTTATATTCATGACTTTCATCTTTAATCGCTTAAGTATATATTTGACTTATCATTTGTTGCATATTTATCATGACGGATGTCTCTGTACTTTTCTTTATAATTATCGTCATCAAAAGATGATGTCTTGATAAAAAGTATGTTGCCTACAAAACAAGGTTCCACACATATAGTTAAGGTTCAATCGTTTTGACCCATCTATATAGTTCTTCGTGTAAAAACACATATAAGGATACTTGTTCAATTTATTCTTGCGCTTTATAGGCATGAGGTTGGTCGAGAATGTCGTCACTAGCCCCTCATCAACGAGAACAACTTCAGATTCCCCTACACGACAAATTAAGTTTATAACATTATTTCAAATTACTTACTTTTTATTATGAATAATTATAGATAATTAATTTTCACTATTTTAGTATAGGTGGTCCGTACGAGGGATGAACTACAACAAATATCATAAACATTGTATAATGCAGTATCATAATCTTTTGGATCACCTTGGACTATAACGTGTATTACAAGTAAACTACTCATCATCTCATTATGCTAGTTTTAACATTAATAATTTACTAATCTAATAATACATTTTTCCTCTATAGTTTATCTGGAGGACATATTTAGGTATCGACCATGATATTAACCCTGAAGATGTTGCAGTTTGTACTGCAAAAACAACTATTATCAGCTTCACTATTGTCGATATGTACCACAATGACTGTGTCAAATTACAATTTTGCATGCAACAACGAATCCCTGAAGATCTGGCGTGTTTGGAACAATGGCATTAACTTATAGTCGATGCCGAATGGAAGTTTGACGATTTGAGGGAATTCGCTAGGGATGCATGTTGAATGTGGAAGCGCCATCATCGTCTGGCCATAAACGAACCGATCATGCCAGATGAATCTAAACCAACTTGAAATTATATAAATCGGTTACAACACTATAATCTGTGTCTGACCTGAGGTATTTAATCGATCCACGCAAACGAGCTTCGTCGTCATAAGCCAAACATGACTACCGAAATACCTACACCTAACAACCAACCCAACAATGTCAACTCACATACACCCAATAACCAACCCCACGACATTACACAACCACACACATCTAACAACCAACCCCACAATATTACCAAACCACATACACCCAACAACCATCCCTGCATGATTACCAAACCACATACACCCAAACTCGTGACTAGTTCATGCCACACACCCAAATACAAAACCAAGAACATTATCCATACAACCAACAAACATATGTCGCCACCATATTTTACCATAACATGGATGAGGTATATGATACCACCACATCCTACCATAGCCCCTAGTCAATGTACACTCAAACATCACGCCACCATAGCACTCAAACATCACATTGCCAAAGCAACAAACCAACACATGCATATCAAACACCACAACAACCATTGCCTTGTTTCCAAAATAAATCAATATCCCAATTCATCCAATTCAACCAACTAGGCCGCTAACCCTTAACCTAACCAACACGACCCAACTATAATGACACGTGCATCGAACTTGAGTACGACATTGCATGTAATTGGCGAGAGATGCTAAATATGATTGACGACACTAATGTTCCAGGGACCTCGCGCCAAACACCCCAAGTGAATCCATGGAGGCACCAAACACCTCAGATGAATCCTGGGAGACAACAACCACCTCAGAAGGATCGTGTGCAACCTTCATAGTGAAAGGCAACGTCGAATTATGGAACTAGTGGTCGTTATGATCAACCACGTCGTTAAAATATGTTTATGAAATTTTCCGCCTTGTAATTCTATTTAAATTTAATAATATTATTATTTCTTTTTTTCCCAATTTATTTTTAATTTATTGTAATTTTATTTTTAAAAAAATACCAATACACTATGGCGTAAAAGGTATTGTCACCTCCTCTTATGTAGTCAAAGTATACACCACTTTCTCAAACATAAAGGTAATGCATGTGCCACATACAATGACACTAATGTGCAAATTTAACTACATACGTCGACGTTTCCTTTTAATTTTTTTTTAAACACAATTATTTTGGTAAATATTTAGAAATGTTGGTTATTTGGAAAAAAAAATTTTAAAAAAATGGTTTTTTTTAAGGAATATCTGTATTATAACATTTAAGGGAAATAGACTTTAATATTCAACATTGGTTAAAAATATAAAAATAGTCTAAAGTCTAAACCTTGACCGTTGAAAACAACAACAACAAAAAAAAGAGAGGTCAGATTCATCAAAGAAAAGTGTAAGCCTTTGACTCCTCTATGAGAATGAGACGATAATCTATCTGATGACGACGAGATATCAGATAGATTCACAAACAATATTCGTGTGAGGAAATCAAACTCATCCGACAGAAAATGGTGTTCAATACTCACGTTGTTGTTCGTGTCGCACGTTTTTCTGCTGAAGCATGGCAACGCTTGTCGTGCATTGATGAACCTATAGACAGTGATCAGCTTTTGGATCTTCTATGTTGTTTTCCTCTTCATCAATTCGGTCGGGTGGCTCTTTGTTTATGTTCCTTCTTTTGTCTCCCTCAACCCCATTCTTTCTACTCTTCTTATCTCATATCCGATGATTCTGATGACTATGATTCTCGTTCTGCTGCTTCTTCTTCCTCTACCCTCCATCTTGAACATGACTACTATTACCACTCTCATTCTGATTGTATGTTTCTCTCTATCTCTTTTTTTTTTTAATGGGTTTTTTATGTTTGATTTAAAGTTTTATTATTTATATGAATTGGATTTTTGGTTCATGCTTTTTGGGTTAGGAGTTGTTTGTGATTTGTTTCTTTATATCCATGACTGAATTTGGTGTGATGATTGTAAACTGAGTTGTAGTGCTATATATTAACATTGTAACCTTAATTATTAGACAAAAATAAATTAAGCAAACTGTCTATAACTACTCTATAGTCGCAAAGATAAGCACCATTGGTCGAACTAGGTTAACAAAGATCAATGGTGTGTGTTTTAATTTTGTTTCTCTTTAATCTTCTATACTGGTTGTTGTTCTAACAATTGATATCAGAGCCATGGTTAGGCTCAATGGGGGAGCGGAAGTGAGATCCTAGTATGGAGCAGGGCTAGTGATGTGGGTGGCTCATACTTGTGGGAGAGAGATTGTTGGGATTCAAGTGTGGGTGGTTAAGTCACATATCAACTAGAAATGGAGGAAATGTTGTGTAAAACAAGAGAGGTGACCTATACTCAGTTGCCTCTTATATTCCAAGTGTTTATTGAAATTAAGATACTTATGAATTGCCTTTTATAGTTTAGGATTTGCTATCAATTCTCACTGCCCTCCCAAATTGATGCATATGTTCTTTTTTAGTGTAAACTTATTTATGTGTATTGTCAAATAACAAATCTTCCAAGAAGCTATTTTGATCTAAATTAGTTTCAATGGTTTCAGCTGGAGTCTTTCTTAGTCTGCCTTGAATTATAGGGGTAGCATCCTCTGGATCAACTCTTCTAGAGGCTTGTATTGGTCTTATCCTCGCATGTCTTAACCCTCTTACGCCCAATTCTACCATTTTTACTTTACCATGTGTTGCTCCAACTTTTTCTTTGATATTTTCATTGCTAAATGTTGGAAATTTCGCCTTAATTGCAGTCCTTCCTAAGCCATCCATTTGTGGCGTTTGTGTTGCCTCCATTGCATCCTTCAGCTCCTTCATTGTGTTATGTGTGAGGGGTGGGTTTAGTTTCACATTTGCCTAGAGATATGACCTAAGTAGTACATATAGAACTTGGGTCACTTTGCAAGCTGATTTTATAGAGGTTGAGTTAGGCACAATCCATATTCTGCTTTGAGGTGGTGGTTTGACACCAACTGCTTTCATCTGTGGAAGAGTGGTAACCTGGTCCTTTGATCTACCATCTCGTTTGTGTGAATGAATGAATGGTTTGATTACTGTTTTTTTCGATCCATGTTTTGCTGTTTCATTCTGTTCTTATCTGTGAGTGACCTCATGCATTCTCGATTTTAGTTTACTTCAACTAAACGATAGTCACAATTTCAAGGTTGTTTTTTTAAATCTCTGTTACTATGCATGCACACATAAACATGATCCATTATGATTTGCTGTGAAATATGGTTAGACTCTTTATGACTGTTACTTGATGCCCTTTTGATAGGAATACTTATCCTCTTGAGTTGAAGTAGAAGCAGACGTTGGATGATGGTACACAAGTGGTCTTAGATTGCCTCCATTGTAAATAAGCAACTTTTTACTCTTTGATTCTTGAAGCTGATAAATTCATCTCTTTACATTTTATATCCTTGTAAAGAGTGATTTGTGAGTGTGTTCATATAATTTTAAAATGCACACTATAAGGGGTGAGTGGTGATATAAATTACTTTTATTCAGAAACTTTATATAGCACCTTCATCACATACTTATAAATCGGTTTTGTATTCAGTTTTGTAGACATGATTTAGATCACACTCCATTTCTAATGTGGTAACATAATATCAATTCAGACCATCCAGTATTTGTGTATACGCACCAATTCTAATAGTGATGGTGTAAGAGGGTGTATTGGAAAAATTAAGACCCATCAATTTAGGTCATTTATCATTTATAGAGAATTTCTTTCTCCATTTTATAGTGTTACTATAAATCTTTCTCTCGTCCTAATAAAGATGAAATGCAACAGAAATCACAATTTTCTTCATTCTCAAAATCAATAATGTCATTGATATATGGATGAAAGAAAGCGGGAAATTGTGACAAGTACTCATCACTTGAAGATTTGATAGAAGGTTTCCTCATCTTTCACAATTCATAATTAATTTATCCTTCCTTCCTTGCATTCCATTAGCAGAATCGAAACAAACTGTAACAACAATAATACCATGCTTTTTACCAATAGACTCTGTCCATTCTAAAACTTCAGATTGGGATTTAAAAATCTGTCAATTACAACATAAAATTAGTAAAATTTATCAATTTCATAAATATCGAAAAACAAATAAAAATGTATAAATTTAATAGGAAACATACGGTATCTGTGGTGTATGCAAAATTTTCGGTATTCCAAAAATTTCAAATTTCCGATTTTATGCTGCGTACCAGAAATTTTGGAAATTTATGGAATATGTTTTAACTTTTTTGTAAATCGCCCCGGAAATTTTAAATTTTCCGATAAATCACCCCTAAAATTTTGAAATTTCCAATTATTTATTACCGAAAATTTTGGAAATTCAAATATTTTTTTTTGATAAATGCATAATTTGGGTACCAAAATTTTTGTAACAGAACCCGAAATTTCCTTTTCCATCCCTTTGACCAATAATAAGTTTTTTTGGTAAATGTAAAAATTTTAGAGGTAAATTAACAAGGACATTTTAGAAATAAATAAAAAATAGGGTGTGTCGGGTATAAAATAAGGGGTGGCTAGTTAAAATATCCATCTATTGTTTATATCCATGTATCAAATACAATTTCTTTTTCCACCCCACTTTTCTAGCGCACCACGCGAAATTTCAAAAATACCCCTAAAAACTAAAAATATATTTCTGGTGCGCACCCACATACATAATTCATTCGCTTTTGAGATTCGTCCTATTTTACAATAAAATTTATTTCGAAAATACACTTCTGAAAATTTTCGATAACGTACTAGTTATGTAACTACTCTATTTACATTGACGTTGTCAGCTAACAGGACTTCCAGACCTCTCAGTATTGAATTGAAATATGTGCATTCTAATGATTCTCCGGGTTCGGAGATGGCTATTGCAATGGAGGATCGTAGTTGAAACCGAATAAGAAGTGTCATGCTCTGAGGAATGCCGTGAGTGTATGGTACCAATCATAAGTTTCCTTGCATCAACTTTTATAAATATAATAAACAGAAATTAAATTATCAAATCAAGGCAAGAAAATGTTCAACACGAATTGCTTTTAATCTCCTATAAATATACCAACACGTACAATTTTCGAATTCAACGAGATATGATTCGCTCTTATGTATATGGGAATGAATGAAATTATAAATCAGTTCATAGATCGGTAAAACACATCTCTTCGATGAAAATATAATACATATTTTGAAACATATTCTGCAAATTCTGGTAGCTGACAACGGTAATGTAAATAGAGCAGTCACATAATTAGAAGTGTATTTTCAAAAAATTTTGAAAGTGTATTTTTGGAATAAATTATGTCGTAAAATATGACGAATCTCAAAAATGAATGAATTATGTATATGGATGCGCATTAGAAATATATTTTAAATATTAAAGATATGCTTCTTTTTAAAATGATTTTTTTATACTGTTGTAATTTTTTGTTTACAAAATTTTTAGAGAATTTTTTTAAATGAAAAATAAATTTTAAATTTATTTCCTTAAAATATTACTTTTATATATTTCATTATTTTATTAAAATTTTCTTTTATGTCAAAGTTTTAAAAAAAAAATACTTAAATTTAAAACAATTTCATACAACTTTTTATAAAAAATATTTTTAAATTACATTTTTTTAAAAATAATATAATTTTGTTGATGTTTTAATCTTGAACAATATATATTTATACTACTTGATGTTAAAATTAGTTTTTTAGTTTATATAATTTTTTTTATTTTTTTAATATTTTAAAAAAGATTTTTAAAAATCATTTTTAAAATAAATTATAATTTTTTAAAAACTAAAACAAACATACCTTAAATTTACAATGCGGAAAGTTTTGAAAGTTCGTATCAAATTGTGTATTTTTAATATATTTGAGTATGGTAAAACAATGAATTGAGCAATTATCATTTCATAATTTTTAAATTTGGGCTGAAACAAATGCACTCTCGGAATGGCCCAATAGCAAGCGGACATTGAAATTTAGAGAGATTTTGTTTTGCTACCTACTTGTTATACTTGACACCATCTTTATTTTCGTATTAATTAAAATACTCTTCTTATTATTTATCTATCTTAAAATTACAGTTGGTCAAAATAATTCACTATGATTGAAGCTGTAATTTTTGAAATTTTTGGTAGTGTTAACAAAAATCTGGTATAAATTTTTTGAATTTGGTTAAATTTTGCATTTTTACAAATCCACTATGAATTTTTATCAAATTTTTGAAAACTCCAGTGCATTTATATCGTATATTTTGAAAATTTTAATATTTTTTATTGGGTTTTCTGAAAAATTAGGTAAGCAGCAAAATTTTCTGATATCCTAAAAGAAGAATGAAATTTTTGAATTTTTTAAAAATTTCGGTATACCGAATTTTTAGCATAGTGTGAAAAATCAGGTAGTTCAATTTAAGGTGTTTTATTTGTGCGCTCTTGAGATGGATGATTCTTTTATTTACGCAAATCTTCACCACTGGCGACATATATTTTGCTTGCATGTTTTGTTTTTAACTTTGAAAAATTTAATAGACTTTGGGTATCAATGGCATAAATAATTCATTCATTATATGTTATAAATGACAAATATTTCCCTCTCGGGTTATCGTGTTAGCTGTAACACTCTAAATTATCCACGCATCAAATTATAAAATAAATTAAGTATGGATCACATATACATATTTAGGATGTCACTCATCATCAACAACGTATGTCCGTAATACTCATCAATTAAAGTAAAACATTCAAGTACACATGTCATCGCATGTTACTCTTCACTTAGGGTATCATCGCATCGAAATTCATCAACTAAGCATGCTTCACAATTTTTAAGTCTCATAAAATATATTATTTGAAATGAAAGCAAATGTGGCAAAAGCCTCCACAATCAACAAAAACTCAAAACATCAAGAGTATAACATACAACTCTCAATTGACGAAACATAATAAAAAGATAACATCGTTCGTCCGCCCAGTCTTACAGATCAGAGAAGTCGAATCTAAACGCATAAAAAACGAAAATAAATAAATAACCTCAACGCCATCCTCCAGCTCTAAAGCACCTACTTAATTACCTTCTTATCCGTACTCTGAAAAGGAGCACATAACATAACAAACAATAAAGGGGGTGATAATATACTCAAAATAAGAAATGGTGCAAAAGAATGCAATGGGTAATCCTAACCGAACATCATCATTCACATATGTTGCATCAACTTACATCAATCAAAATATCTCATATATGTTAGTCTAACAACTCAAATTCACAACAGTCATCACATCATTCATGTGCACAAGTTATGTTATATGCAATGCATACAACAACTCAACTCATGCATGTGGTACCGACTCAACAAATGATTTCTTGTCCGAACTGGGCTCCAACACCAAACCCCAAGCCCCATGCCGAGCTCTAACACCGAGCTTGGGACAATTCACAAATTCATCACTGAATTCATGAACTCGCCTCTTTCACAACAACAACACATATTGCATGCCATACAAGTTAATGTAACAACACACAATAACAATGTTTAAGGCCCCTGCCGACCATAATCAACATGCATTGACAACCACATAATAATCTCACATTGAATAATTATTCAACAACCACAACTTATCATAAAATTGCAACAATTAATTATTTAACACATACTTGATAAACAATACTCAAAACATCTCTAAAACAGTGGTCAAACAGTAACCAACAACTGTACTACCTCAAAAGTCGGGACCGAGAGCTCAATCCCATCAAAATAAACAATTATGCACACTCTATCCCTGTGAAGGGTTACCCATCATCATGGTGACGTCCTTCACCG